CAGCACTCCCTTCTGGCCCAGCCACTGGACCCACCTCTCCTCTGGCTCTTTCAATCCACTGCTGCTGGGCTAGCCAGGATGCTCAGCAGAGGGGGTGAGGGCGGCGGAGGCTGTGACGTGAATGCGCTCTCTGGAAAGGCAATGCGGCTCCTGCTCCCAGCCCCACGTTGGAAACACCGTGAACAGCAGCATCTGGATTCCCGATGGTGTCTCCAAATCCTCGTTTGAAACGACGCCATCAAAACTAGACCTCTGTGAGGAGGAGGGAGTTCGGGGGAGGGAGGAATAGGGACATCCCTTCTGTGCTTCAAACTGTCATCCCCCCTCTCCTCAGAGCAGAAGCCCCAGCCCTCTTCCTTGGGGCAGGGTTATCAGTTAACCAGCTGTAGGACCTTCACTCCATTCTTCTTCTCCTCTCCATACCCCTGTGGGTCCTGATATTGAACCTTTCAAACCCTTAAAGGCCCATTCCCACATGGTGGGGTGGGGTGGGCTGACCACTAGGGGCTCCTGCCTTGAAGGGGCAGACTACCCCATCAGACATCCATACAGAGTGGACAGTGCAGCTGCGGCGAGGGCTGTTGGAGAGAGACAAGCTTTTGAGCCACACACGGCTCGCCTGCCGCTATTGAACCGTAGCAGAAACACGTGTTCGTTTTAGTCCTAGATTCATTCCAGAAGGGTATTGTTTTAACTAGAGGGGGCTCAGAAGCTCATCTGGACAGCCAGGCCCAACAGTAGATCCCACAAACTAGCCCTTCCTGACACTTTGCAACACACAGACCCCCCCCCCGCTTCTTTCTGCATCGCTGCTGGTTTGGTTTGGAATTCTTCCAGTCACCGTGGGGTAAGGCTGTTGGAAACCCAAAGGGAATCACAATGGGATGCAGAGCCGTCTGCTTCCAAGCTATCCATGCACAGCGGTTGAAGTCCAGGGGTGAACAAAACCAGAAGCAGGTGACTGTTCAAAGGTCAACACATGCTGGGTCTTTAGTCCAGCTCCTGGAAGACAAATGTCCATCTCACAAAATCTAGAACCACAATGGCCATTTCTTGCTGGCGTGCTCAGCAGCGATAGCTGCAGTGATTGGGCTCTGAAGACAGAACTATTCCTCCCTGATCAGGGCATGTTAGCAGGGTGGTACAGAGAAAACCTCTCTAGAGCTGACATGTTGTATGGAGCCTCCTCCTGGCCTTTCACAGAGGGCAGGTTGTTTCATGATTACAGCAAAGGGCTAGGAGAACAGAGGGCCAGTTCGAATCCAAGGTGAACCACTGACTCCCTCTAGCCATGCCTCAGTAAACCCAGCTTGACGGCAAGTGAAGAAGGAATGTATAGATCACTAGAAGATGTACCCAGCATTGCTTAAATACATTTGTTTTTCTTCATCTAAATCATTGTTCTGGGATGGAGGGGTTCAGTATGCAGCCTGCCCCAGGACAACCCCAGCCCTCTCTCACCACAGCAGCTTGGGGCAGGCAAAAAGCACCAGTCCGTAGCCGCTATAGCTGCAGTGGGCACAGCCAGGGGAGAGGTGCATGTCCCCTGGCTTGGGGGCAGACAGGAATACAGACGAACTCTCTGAAATATATAGTAGATAGCTGTCCCTTTCTCCACCCCTGTCCCTTGCTGACCCTATGGGATTATAGCAGCCCCAGTCCTCATCTCTGGCCCCTTGCTGCCCCCTTCTGGTCATTCTGCGGTATGACTCCCTCCTACCAGACTCCTTCCTTTTCCATTTTATGAGAATCAATTGAATTCCAGGCACATCCCATTGTCCTGGCACAACCAAACCCTGACTTTGCTTTGAGGTATGCTAAGAGGAAGCTGCCTACCAAATTTGGTGGTCCTAGCTCTTGCCGTTTAGAAGGAGTTCTTGAACAAATGGACTCACAGACAGACAGGTGCACATTTCTAAAATCTGTAGTGAGACACCTAGACAGACCCGAGTCACAAATGTTTCTGTGATTTTGGTGTAAACCCTCTTTTCCTGGACAGCTGCATGCAGGTGTGATAGGGGGACAAGCGGTCCTGTTGACTGCAAAGTGCAGTGTCACCATCTGGATTGGGCTGGCCACTTCCATGAAGTTTCCAGGAAAGATAGAGCAGCTTCCATGAAAATAACTTGATTCCCTTCTCCCCTTTGCATTGATCCAGGGGATGTCATTGTGGTCGTGTCGCCTGCTGTGCCACCCCATGCATATGGGGATGTGATTTCAGTCTGTTCCCAGAGAGGGTTCACTCTGCAGGGCATCAAGCAGCAGCGACTGTCTCCCAAGCGAGCCATCATGCTCAGCATGACAGCAAGTCAGGTAGGAACCAGAGGGCCACTAGGGGAATGATCCTGACTGTGTAAAACGGGCATATCCAAGAGTGCACCTGCTAAAACCTGCAATGGGTCAGGCCGATTCCAATCCCAGGGAGGTTGATTTTGGCATGACTGTCTGACCTCTTGCAGGCTGGGTTCCTAGGATATTGAAAGCCTCCCAGAATACCTCGGTGGCTGGTGTAACATAATTGTATTGTGATGATGAGTTGCGATATTGAATAGATAGCAGGGTTAAAACAAAAGGAAGTTTTTCTTCACACAGCACATAGTCAACCTGTGGAACTCCTTGCCAGAGGATGTAGTGAATACCAGCACTTTAACAGGGTTCAAAAAAGAATAAATTCATGGAGGTTAGGTCCATCAATACTTATTAGCCAGGATGGGTAGGAATGGTGTCCCTAGCCTCTGTTTGTCAGGGCTGGGAATGGGCGACAGGGGAAGGATCACTTGATGGTTCCCTGTTCTGTTCATTCCCTCTGGGGCATCTGGTATTGGCCACTGTCAGCAGACAGGACACTGGGGGTACGTCTAGACTACACCTCTCTGTTGACAGAGAAATGTAGATTAGACACGTCGAAATAGCTAACAAAGCAAGGATTTAAATATCCCACACTTCATTAGCATAAACATGGCCGCCGCTTTTTTCCAAAATGGAGCTTTTTCAAAAAAAATGGCAGTCTAGTTGCGGATCTGTTGAAAATAAACCCTTTTTCGAAACACCCTGTATTCCTCAAAAGATGAGGTTTACAAACGTGTGCTGTGCCATTGCATTAGTCCATCACAGCCAACTGGGCCTCGAATTAGCTTGCACTTACTAAGGGAAATCATCGTTCCTGTAGCGACAAGCATGCTTCACCCCTGCTGCAGCACCGTGGGTGAACTCTGCTTGGGGCTTTCTTAGGCTCGTTACCCTTTTACCAGCAGCCAGGATTCCCCACCTTCTGACATCATGTTCCTTAGCTATGAGTGGCACCTCCAGTTACTTTCAGAGCTGAGCTTCCCTTGTGCTGGAAAATCCCATTAAAGCCCCTCCTACCTGGCAGCTGAGAATATGCCATTGTGAAAGTCAAACATGAATTTTGCCATTGATTTCAGTGGGAGCTGGCTCATACCTTAAATCTATACATCACCGGGCAAATTCACTACTGGACACATTAGTTGAACATAAAGTGTTGGGGGGAAAGTCAACATGGTTTCTGTAAAGGGAAATCCTGCCTCATTAATCTACTAGAATTCTTTGGGGCGGGGACAGGGGTCAAAGTACACTTACATTTCCAGAAAGCCTTTGACAAGGTCCCTCACCAAAGGCTCTTAAGCAAAGTAAGCTGTCGTGGGATAAGAGGGAAGGTCCCCTCATGGACTGGTCACTGGTTAAAAGGAAACAAAGAGTAAAAATAAATGATCAGTTTTCAGAATGGAGAGATGTAACCAGTGGTGTCCCCCAGGGGTCCATACTGGGACCAATCCTGTTCAACATAGTCATATATGATTTGGAGAAAGGGGGTAAACAGGTGGCAAAATTTGCATATGATACAAAACAGCTCAAGACAGTTAAGTTCTAAGCAGACTATGAAGCGCTACAAAAGGATCTTTCAAAACTGGGTGACTGGGCAACACAACGGCAGATGAAATTCAATGTTGATAAATGCAAAGAAATGTACATTGGAAAACATAATCCCAACTATACATATAATGTGATGGAGAGTAAATTAGCTGTTACCCCTCAAAAGAGATCTTGGAATCATTGTGGATAGTTCTCTGAAAACATCCACTCAATGTGCAGCAGCTGTCAAAAGAGCAAACAGAATGTTAGGAATTATTAAAAAGGGGAAAGCAAGTAAGACAGAGAATACCTTGTTGTGTCTATATAAATCCATGGTACAGCCACATCTTGAATTCTGCGAGCAGATGTAGTCTTCTCATTTCAAAAAAGATACCTTGGCATTGGAAAAAGTTCAGAGAAAAGCAACAAAAACGATGAGGGGTTTGGAAAGGCTGCCATATGAGGAGAGATTAATAAGACTGGGATTTTTCATCTTAGAAAAGAGGAGACTAAGGGGGCAATATGATAGAGATCTATAAAATCATGACTCGTGTAGAGAAAGTAAATAAGAAAAATTTATTTATTTGTTCCCATAACACAAATAGGAGTTACTAAATGAAATTCATAGGTAGCAGGTTTTAAACAAACAAGGAAGTATTTCTTCACACAATGCACAGTCAACCTGTGGAACTCCTTGCCACAGGATATTGTGAAGACCAGAACTTTAACAAGGTTCAAAAGGAGCTAAATAAATTCCTGTAGGATTGGTCCATCAATGGTTGTTAGCTAGGATGGGTAGGAATTGTGTCTCTAGCCTGTTTGTCAGAAGCTGGAAATAGGCAACGGCGGGGGGATCGCTTGATGATTTCCTGTTCCGTTCACTACCTCTGGGACACCTGGCATTGGCCACTGTCTGCGGACAGGACACTGGGCTAGACGGATCTTCGGTCTGACCCAGTCTGGCCGTTCTTACACTCTTAGGGTATGTCTACACTACCCCGCTAGTTCGAACTAGCGGGGTAGTGTAGACATACCCTAAGAGTGTAAGAACGGCCAGACTGGGTCAGACCGAAGATCCGTCTAGCCCAGTGTCCTGTCCGCAGACAGTGGCCAATGCCAGGTGTCCCAGAGGTAGTGAACGGAACAGGAAATCATCAAGCGATCCCCCCGCCGTTGCCTATTTCCAGCTTCTGACAAACAGGCTAGAGACACAATTCCTACCCATCCTAGCTAACAACCATTGATGGACCAATCCTACAGGAATTTATTTAGCTCCTTTTGAACCTTGTTAAAGTTCTGGTCTTCACAATATCCTGTGGCAAGGAGTTCCACAGGTTGACTGTGCATTGTGTGAAGAAATACTTCCTTGTTTGTTTAAAACCTGCTACCTATGAATTTCATTTAGTAACTCCTATTTGTGTTATGGGAACAAATAAATAAATTTTTTATCACTATGAAGAGGATTTTTAATCAATGACTGTGTCATCAAGAGGATGCTCCTCATGTGTCATATATAACTGCATAACTTCATGGTTCCTCACATCTCTCATAAATTAATCCCCTTATGTACAAAGAGCATGTATTGCTGTAGATTGGCAGGGTTCTCCTATGATGGTGCCAGTTGGCAAGCTTTTTATCTGCTGCTTTGTGTAATCTTACATTGGGTGCAGCTGAATGCGTTTGCATTTGGCATTGTCAGATCTTAGTCGAAGGAAGTCAAGATAATCATTAAAACAGGGCTTCCAAGCCAACTGAGATAGACAGGAGTGAGCCTAGGCCTGCACTGTTCACACCAGCCCAACACCCAGTGATGTAAGTGAGATGTTTCCTTGCACAGGGAGACAGCCCTTAGTAAGTCCTGTGTGCACACGGCAGGGTAAAGGGGACGTGGGACTGTAGAGTGGGGCACTTTCTGGTTTACCAAGAAAACTCTGCCCAAGGAGCTTGTTTGCACCTGATTGTCTTCAGACCTCAAGAACCATCCCCCCTCGTCCTCACACCGTACCAATACAAATATCGCTGGCTTCCAAAGTCTTGTGAAGGAAGGTCCCTAAATCCTCAGGCTAGCACTGAAATACAAATGGCCTGATTTGCCCAGGCGAGGAGCACCCACAGCTCCCCTGGGCCTCCTGAGATCTGCGTGCTCAGCTTCCCTGCAGATCAATGACTTGGAAAGGGTGGACTTAGGAGACTAGCAGGAGGTTCCCATGAGGATGTGCTGGCCTGTGTCGTTTCAGGTGGCTGTTTTTTGCCCTAACAAGATTTCAAGTGCCACGGAGAGATCCTCAAGAGAAGACCTTACTGCTGAGCCACGCTTGCACTG